TCTCTCTCTCTCTCTCTCTTTCTCTCTCTCTGTTTCTCTCTTGTTTTTGATTTTTTCGGAAGTTCAAAGTTTATTTTGCTTCGGTGACTCGTGGTTATTGTCTATGACTGGGCTTAGTAGCACCGTTTTTGTATACGAAGATGTTGTTAAGTTGTGAGCGCTTTTCTTCCATTGTAACAAAAATAACCAACAACAATAAATAAACAAAACAAAGACAACAATTAATAAGCTCTTTTAGCTTCAACTTTTTAACCGTGACAGGTCTGTAAGAGTTATGCATTGTTATGTGCATAAGAGCGCTCTGCACTATAGGTTCTTTCAAAAAATCACTGCCACATTCATCAGAATTCAGGCACCTTCCAGGCAAAAAGAATCCAATGACCGTAGCTGCACAGTACATTGACTGTTTTCGTACTGTCCTGTTGCAGTTCTGAAATGCAAGTAGTTCGAGGAAACCTGGATTTTTTCCCCTGCTTCAGACTGGCCTTTTTCTCTGAGTATGAATAACGTTACTCAAATGTGAAGTCAGTCTTGTTGTATGGATGTGAGACATGGGACACATCCCAGACGTGCATAAAGAGGATCCAGGTTTTCCTGAACAAGTGTCTGAGGAAGCTACTGAGGATCAGATGGACGGACAGGGTCACCAACGAGGAAGTATTAAGGAGAACGAAACAGAGCCCATGAGAGATGAGGTGGCGATGGATTGGACACATTTTAAGGAAGTCAAGTAGCTGCATAACAAGGAAAGTGTAAGATTGGAACCCACAGGGTAAAAGATCAAGGGGAAGACCACGTGGAACCTGGAGAACAGTCATAGAAATTGATGTACAGAAAAGTGGGAATTTTAAGAAATGGAGTGAGATCAAGCGACTAGCCCAGGATAAGAAAAGGTGGAAAGTGTTTGTTCGTGGCCTATATCCTGTTCCAGGGTGAGAAAGGCAATGATGATGATGAATAACGTTATAAACTCATTAACTCTTAAAAGTTGGTGCTTAGGCTAAAACAGCACCTGGACATAAATGGCTGGTGCCTCTATAAGTAAATTATTGATGGCCAAATTGGTGGTTCTACTGTCTTGACTTTTTTTTTTCAATTGATTTTATTTTAAAATATATTTTTCAAAATTTAATTAAAT